TGCCTAATTTGCAAGTCTGATTTGAACATAAGATCCTGATTCTGCAAATTGTTAGACTCATATTTATACAGGTAAATTTCCCCCCATGTACACACATTTAAATAAATAAATATATTACACATTTGTCCATTTAAATATATTCTGAACTGGTTGGATCTAGGTTTGACCATATATAGAAAAGTTCCAATTAATTCACTGGAAATTATTTTTTTCTTACCCCAATGGTGTTTTTCAAAAGGCAACTGGACTTTCTGGATTGTTTTTCCCCCTTGAAGATGTTTCACTTCTCATCCAAGAAGCTTCTTCAGTTCTGATTGAAAGACTGAGATGACTTGGATGACTGAGAATCCCCATAGATGTCTAGTAGTCTAGTGCAGGGCTTGGCAACCTTAAACACTGAAAGAGCCACAAAAGTTCTAACCACAAGCCCCCTATTCAATTCTAGAGCCAACCGGAAGTTTGGTTCCTCCACCATAGAGTCCCCTCCTAGAGCGGCATCCCTTTTTCCTCTGCTGACCGGAAGTCCACCTTCCCCACCATAGAGTCTCTTAGCACGGCGCCCATTTTCCTCTGCTGACTGGAAGTCTGGTTCCCCCACCATAGAGTCTCCTCCTAGTGCGATGTCCTTTTTCCTCTATCTGTCCTAACCGAAGGCGCTATCAATTGTGGAACCAACTGGCGACAGGGAGCCACAGCAGAGGGATGAAAGAGCCACACGTGGCTCCAGAGCCACGGGTTGCCGACCCCGAGTCTAGTGCTACAAAACTTACTAAGTAACAGAAGCTAGTTGACCTTGGCTGTTGTCAAAAAGCTAAGTGCAGTTGCACTTGCTTATCATGTGGATGGAAAACAACCAGGACATTCTTGGGCTGAAGGCTAAATTGGGGGATAAAAATAACATTTGGGAAGAAAGCAATATTGAATTGCTTTTGAACAATGGCCAGGAAAACCACACTAAGTCCTACAAGGTCGAACTCAACTACAAGATGGATGTGTTGTCTTATACCAGAGGTCCCCAAATCCCTGGTCCATGGACTGGCACCGGGCCGTGGTGTGCCAGAAACCTGACCATGCAAACAAGTGAAGCACCATCCACAGGAAGCAGGAAGCATGCAAAACTACACTCCCTCCAGTCCACTGAAAAACCTCTCTCTGTGTAATCAGAGTTGTGTTTTAATTTTCCTATACAGAATATCTGTCTCGATGCAGAATATTCTTTCTTGTTCTAATATTGCAAGTACCCTGTAGTCTCCACCATAAAAGAACCATGAAATATTTGGAGGGAAAATTGTAGGTGGACCGTTGGTAGAGGATAAAGCACTAGTGAATGACAATCTATTGTGCAAAAAAAAACCTCCAGATCCAAATCAAGTGTTGAGTTATTGAAGATATTTTCTCAGATAAATTGCCTTGCTCCTAAATGAAAATGGTAACAAAGACAGAATCTTAACTCTATTACATCAAATTAATCCTTTAATTTTTAGACCATTAAAAGCAATCTAACCCAGTGCTTTTGAATATTCAAGATGCACGAAGTAAACACGCATGTAGTTTTTAAAATATTGATTTCCACCACTAGGTGGAAATATGGGCAAACTATTATTTTCTCCTCTCTTCTTCAGATTTTCTTAGCCGCAAGGAGGGAAAAATAAATCTCAATACTTAACCATAGCTTCATTGCTGTCCTTTCCTGAATTATAAAAATATTTTCTCAAATATTTTTTCAAAGAGGGTGTTTTTTTTGAAGCTAAGAGAGATAAGGTTTTGTACTTTGCATCTATCTTCACAAAAGCCATTAAATTCTTATCACAGATTGTTTATAGTCTCAAGATTCGGCATATATAAATAGGCAAATGTAAATACCTTCCATGTTTTTTCTCTTGGACACATTCTAGAGACCAAATTTCCCTTATATCTAAGCCTTTTTTGTTATTGCACCAAGGTCTGCTGAAAACAGATAAGAGGAAAACTCAGTATAGTGTACTGATTCACCTTTAGTCTTGAAACTCAGTATCTATTTCTCCCCCCCCCCCCTTTTCTTAGTCCAACATATTCACAGGGTGGTATTGGAGAGAAAATTAGGGAGATTTCATGTAAGCCACCTTTAATTTTTCGGCAAAAAGATGAGATAGAAATTTAAGAAATGTTTTCCCTAAGGTTGTCCTTCAGATGTCATTGACTTCAACTCCCACAATCCTTAGCCACCATGACCAATTGCTAATTAGTAAAGATGTAGTTTAAAGGTTTTTTAAAGCATAATCTGGGTACTCATTTTTTTTTTTTTTGCTTTTTCCCAAATTTCTTGGAAGCAGCCTTTGAAAAGAGCCCAATAGACTCATCTTGGGACAAATCAGAGATTTTTTTTTTGACAGCTATACCATATATTTTAAGATCATATGTATATACATCCTATGTATATACCATATATCCTAAGGTCATATGTTAAAATGTATAACTAAGAAAAGAATATGAATTCAGGCATCACAGTACTGCAAAATCATAAGAGAATAAATGAACCATTTGGGGGACAGGGGAAATCTCTCAGTCCATAGAATAATGGGGCATGAATTTACATGGTTGGAATTAAGCTTGCTAATGGAAGCTTTTATGTTACAAAAGGATTATTTGCCTTCTGAAATAATTTCAGCACGCTGCCAGAACAAAATGAAGTTACCTATGGAATTGAAGATGACAGCTGCTGGAGACTCAAGGCTGCTGCAGAGCACTTAGGTGTTTGCTACATACAACAAAAAATTACTGAAGAAAAGGAAAACAGATTTGGGATTTGTTTGTTCCTTTTAAAAAACCCCATCTAGGTGGACTTTTTAAACAGAAAGCAACAGCCTGAATGCTAGGAATTTTGGGACCCATTAAATATATTTTACTAGGAAATGAGATATATTTTTCATAAGTGTGACCTTGTTCCATGCTTTTTACCCTCCTTTTTTACCCTAATTTTTTTTTTCTGAAGGGCACAAATCATGGGGATAAGCAGAGAAACATCAACACATCCATTTTGGTGATGTTTCTATTAAAACTCAGAGCATTTTAAAAAAAGTTAATCTCAACAAACACAGCCTCTCACACAGCACTGTGGTGTACTTACATTTAACATCCACTTTCCTTTCACATTTTCTACTGTTAATTTTATTCTGGGATGTTTGCCTACCTATACAGTGTTTCTTGCAACCACTCACGCATCAAATTCTTCCTTTGTTTTGCTGTGCTAGTTTATTTGATCTTCTGCATTTTTGCTCCACGTATGCCATCTTTTCCTAATCAGATTGAGGAAGGCCATTTTATGTATTATTCTTGGTTGAGCCATGAAATTCCAATGTTTCCAAAACTACATCCTGATCCAGATAAAAGACAACTGTGCCTGCACAATGTATTATCTCCTTGGTTGGTGGGATGCAGGGAAATGTGTTTTGGATTGCAAAGTAGCCTCTAAAAATTCTAGCTTGCAGAGAATAACATGAACATGCAGAGGATAAAATTGGGAGGCGATTGTACAGTACCTGTGCCACACTGCCCAAAGTACACCTAAACAGATCAGTACTATTGTTATCAGGGAACACTATATACAGTAGTGTGAGTAGTGAGGCCATTGACCTAATCTATATCTATTGTCTTATTAATATCATTATATGAAAAACTTGGTTATTGGAAATTAATATTTAGGGGCCCATCAGGTTACAGGAATGTTGAAAATGGAAAGGCTGCATGTAAAGTAATGGTGTAACTGGAAAAATGTTAAAATATGGATATGATTTACTTATGGGATGACTTTGCTATGCAAACAATGTGAGAAATTGAGTTAGAGCCCAACTATAAAATGCTATATTATTGGTTTCTTTACAAAGATAGCAAGGTGAATGCAAAAAAATAAAAGGAATTCACTTCATATACAGGCCTGGCACACACAGATAAATGTTTACACTTTAGTTGTGTTGCTCTTTTGGGTAAAGGTAATATTGTAACACTGTTGATAAAGCCTGCAAGTGTTAATGGCCACTGAGCCTGTGTAGTCAATCCTTGGTGAAGCCAAGTCTATTTGATATAATTCCCATCCCATCCCCTCATGATGTACCAGTTGGAACTCTGTTCCTCTGAATATTCCGTATGCAGCTTTGAACATCTGCAGAAGTCTGTATGTAGAAGCAGTTCTTTCTCAGGTGTATAAGATTTCACAATAACCATTTGCTCAAATAAGTGTATCCCGCTTATGGAGAAATCTAATCGTAAAGTTCATTGTCATTTGATTGTCACAGTAGGCAGATTTCAGATTTAATTGGAACTGTTTCCTTTTTGAACCATGTGCAAATGGTTCAGGAAAATGAACAGTCTTCGTTTAGCGATTGCTTTGCACAATGACTGTCCAGTAACGACAATGATGAAAAAGTAACTCTGCAGCCAAAGTTTACAAACTTTGCAGATTTGTAAAAGAAAGGAAAACTGCGATAAGGTCGTAAACACAATTGTGGTTTTACTTAACGATCACATTGCTTAACAGAGTTGTGATAGCTAAATGAGGACTACCTGTACTGAATTTAAAAAATGAGATGCCTCTGAGAATACTTTCAGACCAGGAGTTTGTTTTCAGTGTCACAACTGGCAGCAAAAGTTACACAAAAATGAACCTAATAAGTACTTGGAGTGTCAGGATTGCAATTAGGGGGAAAATGTGTAAAAGTCACTTCCATACCATAGCTAAGGAAACTAGGTGGATAGTTCCACAAATTGAGGATATGAGGGAAACTTTATCAGAACTACAATTATTACACAGATTGTTTCCCCACAAGTTCGTATTTTTACCTCCCTCCCAAGTGGTGGAGGAATTTGGGAAGGAAAAGGACAATCGTTATTTTTTGTTAAATCATTAAATGTCAGAAGTCTTTGCTGCAGATTCTGCCTATAATGGGCTGCATGATTGACTTGAAACTTTTGTACATTTCTTTATGGGACAAAGCAGCATAGCTTAAAAGCATTACAACAACCGGTCAAGCAAAAATAGTCTTTATTCAAATTTAATGGAAACAGGGGTCACTGTACTTTTGCAAGATGGGGAAAAATAAAAAATATAAAACAAGGATATTGTCACAATACCAGAATGTGGAGCTCTACTTTTGTTTCTTCCCTTCCTATAGTTTACTGTAGGTATCTATTTTCCTGACTGTGCTATTCACATACTCTGCAAGTCCAAAATATGAAACAAAAAAAAAGTATTATGAAATTTAAGACTTTTCACTTTTCACTAAATGGCATACATCAAGGGGCGTCAATTTAAGGGCAAATTGTTGAAATTACCATACCTACCTAGGAGTCATCATTCCAATCTTAGAAGCCCATCAATGCAATGCTCCGTCTCTATGGCTGTTCTGGAAATCTAGGATGATGCACCGTACTGAAGAAAGCCCTCGGTCTCTAGTACCAGAACGCGCAACAGAGAGGGAGCACTGGACCAAACACTTACTAACACACCATTTTTTTTGGGGGGGGGGGATTAAAAATGTACAGCAGTGACATGTGTTCTACTCCAATCACTTGTGCTACAACTACCAAACATGTACAAAAGACTTCTCATAGAGCTCTAAATGTGGGTTGCAGCAAGTTTAAGATCTGGAACGAGATCGCGACCTAGATCGAGAATGTGACCTAGAAGCAGATCTCGATCTAGACTTCGACTGGGATCTCGTCTTTGAAACGGATTTGGATCTGGAGCGAGATTCTGATTTGACATTTTTAGACTTGGAATTTGATCTTGATCTTGATCTACAACTGGTGTCCATTTCCTCACCCTCGCCTTTGGCGTCTTTTGGGTCAGGTTCTGTTTTTATACGCTCTTTTTCCTTGGATTGAGACCGAGACCTAGACCTGGACCTGGACCGCTCTTGATCTTCTCTCTTTTTCTTCTTGCTACTAGACTTGCTGTCACGTTTATTCCTTCTCTTGTTTCTCTCATTTCTGCTGTGACTCCTGCTCCTGCTCCTGCTGGCCTCCCTGCTCCTCTTCCTACCTTTCCTTTTGTCCTTGCTCTTGCTACGGCTTCTACTCCTGCTCCTTTCTTTGCTCCTGCTCCTTTCTTTGCTCCTGTTCCTTTCTTTGCTCCTGCTCCTTTCTTTGCTCCTGTTCCTTTCTTTGCTCCTGTTCCTTTCTTTGCTCCTGCTCCTTTCTTTGCTCCTGTTCCTTTCTTTGCTCCTGTTCCTTTCTTTGCTCCTGCTCCTTTCTTTACTCCTGCTCCTTTCTTTACTCCTGCTCCTTCCCTTGCTGACACTCTTCTCTCTCTCTTTACTCCGACTGCCCCTAACGCTTCTCCTTTCCTCCCTTTCTACCCTCTCCTTACTGCCACTCCTACTACGGCTCTTACTCTTACTCTTTTCTTTGCTGGGACTTCTGCTTTTTGCTTGGTGGTCACCATCATTTTGAACTATATCCTGTGGTTTGTCTTTACTTTTACTTCGAGATTTCTCAGCGCTTCTACTGCGGCTCCTGCTTTTATCATCTTTACTTGGACTCCTGCTTTTTTCCTTTTGGCCTCTGCTGTGACTTTTGCTCCGACTGCGGCTCTTGCTTCTGGAATGAGATCTAGATCTGGTAGTCAAAAAGAAAAAAGTAGAAAGTTTTGCAGGTATTCAATAATTTGGCAGCGCCGGATCTTTATCTTGTAATTCAGCAGACATCTCAGACAGTTCAAATTTCAGATTGTAAACATGCCGACTACTTAAATCAGTGTTTCTCAACCTTGGTGACTTTAAGTCCTGTGAACTTCAACTCCCAGAATTCCCCAGCCAGCTATGCTGGCTGGGGGATTCTGGGAGTTGAAGTCCACAGGACTTAAAGTTACCAAGGTTGAGAAACACTGACTTAAATAACACTTATTTAAATTTTCAAAATTATGATTTCAACGATATTCTAAATGCTTAATAACCCCCTGCATCCCACAGTGTAAGGCATATAACTGTTGATTATAACACTATATAACACTTCCTGAAGAGCAATTATACTGCCAACTTTTTTTAGAATGCATGTTACTGGAGCATAAGCTTAAATTATGTCCACTATTAATTAAACTTTACTGTACCTGGATCGTGATCTGCTCTTTGAATGGCTGCTTTTACTACTGCCACTGCGACTCCTGCTTTTACGGGAATGTCTGCTTCGAGAGCGAGACCTGGAGGTAATACAATTGTGTCACAGTTGTTAAGTCATCATGGGCGTTCAAGAGAATCAGCTGAGCATGGCACAGAAATCCCCTTTGAAGCTGCATAACACAGTACAGCAGAAGGCACTACCTCCCTAGAGCATTTCTGAGACAGCATAGTTCTGTCTATGTATTATTAAGAAATCTAACAGGGTTTGTTTGTTTTTTGGTGGGTTTTTTTGCATATGGGGCTCCATAAAGCCTTCTAATGTCAAAGATAAGATTAGTTTCATTAAGGAAAACAAAAGGCAGCTTTGACAAAGATGTAAAAATGAATAAAAGAGAATGCAATTGTGGTCACTGGAATTAGAAAAGAAAGCAGGAGGGATTAGGTTTAGATAATAATTTTGTTACAACTCAGAATACAAAGGCACAAAGCTTTTCAACAATATGTTGCAGAGGAAGATCCAACCTGTTATTTTATTTGCTTTTTTTCATCTTCAAGAAAAGTTGTTCATTATTTAATAGTTTCCATGCTTGTAGTGAAACCATTTTTTGTATGTTCAAATATTTCTGCATGATGTGGAACCCTTCACTATAAGGGTTCCAACTGATATACTATGGAGTTAAAAACTGCTCAGTACTACTTAAATGTTGACTTGAACATATGAAGGAAACTCTTGAACAAAACTCAAGTCATTGATCAGCCTAGCTTTTATTCTCTTCAATAATTGGTAATAACTTTCCAGGCTATTTTTCAAAATTTTATCTAAACATGCCAGGCAATGATTTCATGACATTTTACAATCTAAATATATGTTCTGCCAATGAGATACTGCCATTCTTATGCTGGATCTAGCTTCTGATTCTAGTTTGCAAAATTGTACCATATTTATATATTTGTAAATAAAAAATAAAATCTATCAAGATTTTCAATATAGTAAAAGGTGGCTTCAAAATATAGTTCTTCTGTTTCATCAGGTTCCAGATTTCATGCAAAGATCCTCAATTAACATAATTTTCCTGTATAAACTCCATTATCTGCTTCTCTATAGAACAGCTTTACAGCAATGCCTCTTGGAAAGGATCATACATCCCTTTTCTCAGACAGGTAATTTATCTGATCCTCAAATGAAATGCCTATGGCTTCCCTCAATGGCAAATGGAGGCTGGAGATATGGATTCCATAGGTGTAAATATAATTTGTCCTAGTTGTTCAACAGTATAATGCCAAGTTATAATTTGGCATTATTCCCGAACCACTTCTGAGAGTTTTGGTTATTTTAACACTTCACTGCTTTTCCTGCAAGTGAATATCCTGTTTATTTTTCATTAACTGTTCTGAACTATTGCCCTAGTAAGCATGACATTATGAACAAACTTACCTTGAATGAGTGCGACTTCTGGAGTAAGAACGGCGGCGCCTGGACCCAGGCCTATCTTCCACTAGTCTTATCTTTCTACCATTTACTTCTGTCCCATCCAGTTTTTCAAGGGCTCTTTTCATGTCTGAATAAGATTTGAATTCAATCACACCTTCATTTTTTCTCCCTTTGTGTGCGTCAGCATATGTCACTTCACCTGCCTGACGCATATAATCCTAAGAACAGATACAGGGTTTCAGTACATTTGTCTAATTCTGATACTGCTACAAATGAAAAAAAAAAACGAGACACATATGTACCTGCACACTTGGTTGTGTCCTGATATGCACATGTAGTATCTGTATGTCTAAATGAATTACTGACTTATTGATCAAGATTTTCTCATTTCCATATCTCTAGCTACCTTTCAACTTCTAGGTGTCGTAGTTAATTGCTAATTTTACCTAAAATATCAATGCCCTTGCTTTTCAGGGCATCATTTTTGTAGAATTTTAGAAGGAGATGGAACAGGACAAGAAATCATTTGGAGGGGGGGGGGAGGGCAAAAATGGAGGTAGTTATAAAGGCTGGAGTTTGCAAGGCGGAAACAAGACCCAAAGGACTAGACTATACCATTGGGTACACAGTTACAATAAAGGTGTAATCAACAGCCCTGCATGAGAAATGCATTGTAAGCAATCCAAAAAAGCTCATGATTTATAACTTGAAGAGGCAGAAAAGAACACGCATGCATACATAGCTGGTTTTTTAAAGAGTTTCTTTGTCGAGGGCTACTCTGCACCTGCAATATTTATCTCCTACAGGAATGTACAGATAGTCCTTGACTTACAACAGTTTTTTTAGTGATGTTCAAAGTTACAATGGCACTGAAAAAATGATACATGATTATTTTTCATACTTCTAACTGTTGCAGCATCTGAATTGTCAGATGCTTGGCAACTGACTCGTATTTATGATAGTTGCAATGTTTTGGGTCCATGTGATCACTCTTTTTGACCTTCTGACAAGCGAACTCAGGGAAGCCAGATCTAACAACTATGTCACTAAGTTAACCTCAGTGATTCATTTAACAACCGTTGCAAGAATGATCGTAAAATGAGACATTAACTTAACAACTGTCTCACTTCACAACAGAAAATTTGGGCTCCGTTGTTGTTGTAAGTTAAGGACTAATTGTACCTGAGAACAGTTTGAATCCCTAGAGATAAAGAACTATTCCAGTGACCTGTATGTAACCATGACAAGTAGGTTAGCCAATTCAAATGCCCCAATGAACAGTGATCCAATCATAAAAAGAAGAGCAAGCCACTGCAACAAGTGCCCCAAAGAAGCAGTTGCTCTTAGCTTTTATGAATAGCTTCTAAAAGATCAAAGTCATGCGTGAAATTTGATATAGAGACTTCTATTCTTTTGGAAGCATTTCTCTGTACTTAATAGGTAATGTAATATAGGTAATAAAGAGCACAGACAGTGAACATTTCATGCTCAAGAAACTCACAATTACGCTTAGTACACTGCATTGAGATTTCAAATAAAAACTATAAATACTTTTTTTTGGGAAACAAATATCTATTTCCTTTGGTATGGATTATATAGCAAGAATTAAGACTTCAATTTATGTTTGCTCTACCCATCACTAAATCAGAACTGGCAGAAGCCCAGACACCACTTACCTTCAAATCCTGCCAACTGCAACGGCTTGACAGATTTTCAACGATCAATCTGTATTCAGTACGGGTCGGAGGCCCATACTTATCTCTTCCACTTCTTCTATAACCATATCCACCTTGAGATGTGATAAGCAGATGCAGTACTTTAGCTAGTATAGTGGAGTTAGGAATTAAACCTACACCCCCCCACCCCCTCCTCCAAACAATGTAAGAACTAGTCTATCCAAGTTACATTAACAATTTCCCACCCCCGCCCAAGCCTAAACTACATTCTCCTTGCTTTAAATGTAATACTAATAGAGCCAGCCAGAAATCTACGTACACATGTCTAGAATATTACCACAATAAGACTGTATATTTTACATTAAATACTAATATTGAACATGCATCTACAATTACTATTTTTTTAAATAACATTTTTTTTGAAAACAAAACAACCAAATCACTATAGTCAGTTACTAATGTTACTTACATTGATTTAAAGTTTTCTGAATATCTGACATGAATAATGGTTTTCAGGCACCTATTTCAGATTAATCACATCTCTCTCTAACCCTTGGGGTCCTCACCACCCAGGTCTAATGGGAAAAAGTTGCGGTCGTCACATGGCTTCCTTTTGGTCAGCCAAGGGCCACAAAGGTCAAAGAGCCACTCATGGAAAGGCAACCCAGGGTCAGCAAATGGAACAGGCAGTCATCTTAGCCTCAAAGGACTCTTAATTGAAACATTGAGGTCTTAGTTAAGTCTATGTTAAACAAATATTTACATTACAAATAAACCATTTAAATATTTACAAAAGTAAAATAACAAAATTAATCTCATTTATTTAATTACATTAAAAATGTTTAATACAAATTAACATCTAGATATTACTTTAATAGAAACCACAGTAGTCAAAGTTTACATTTTTTTAAAAATTACAGTTTTTAAAAATATTCTATTTTAAATAGAAAGAAGAGTCACTGGTACAATGGTATGTAGTGCTTACTGCGTCCAGAACCATAACTGCTGTCACGCCGAGGGCCTCGAGCATGCTCAACAATTACACGCTCCCCACAAAGATCTTTGCCGTTTAGTTCATAAACAGCATCGTCTGCATCACGCACATCATCAAATTCAACAAAGCCATACCTGGAGAAGAGAAGAAACGACTCCAGAATCAAATATGTCACCAATTACCTCAGCAGGTCCGCTGGCAGTAGAAACTATTTTGAAAATTAGGGAATGTGGGAGATACGTATTTCAGAAAGCATCTTCCTCCAAACAAAAACTAAGCCTGTTGATGGCAACAAAGGGTTTTCCTTTATTGCCATTAACAGGAAGAACATGTTGTAACTATTATTATTATTTTTATACAAAGCATAAAGTTATGGCAGCAGGTACTAATAGCTTAGGAAATCACAGAGACAAACTGTTCTCTGGCATTAAGGCTTTTATAATTTTTTCTTTTAAAAAGACAAAAGAAAATCAAGTTATTTAAAGCACATTATAGACAGGAAGTAGACCACACAACACAACAACACACTTAGGAGGCTGGTAACTTTACATAAGCCAATCTGGCTCTTTTGAAAGTTTCTGCTATAGGTGGACCATACGGAAATTCTGTACTGGATCTTCCTGCATTTAGGAGACCCTGGGCAATTGGCATTGCTTAAAGGCTAGTAGTCACCAAAGAAACAAAGGGGTTGTGGGCTGTTGTGAACAGCTTCTGGATAGAAATTCTTACCTGGCTATCTTACATTCTTACAGGGTTGACTAGAGTGAACCTTTGTTTTCAAATATGAGGAAAGGAAGAATAAAAGAAGCAAACTGAGGCAATTTCAGAAAAAAACCCATTATGCTTTCCATATTTTGCTAATTACTTTCTTCTATTTCCCCAAAGCAGAAGCAAAAAATTAATGGAATTCTTTAAAAAGGCCTTATTATGAAACATAATCTCTTTTTAAATGAGTGATATATTTTCCAAATGTTTTAGTCACCCATTAAAATAATATTAGAATGCTTAATGGAAGGAAACCTTTTGCATTAATATTTCATTAGTTTTTTAATTCTAGAACATTTCATGATATCCAAATATGCTCTTAGTCTTTAAAGTTAAGCCATAATGTTTTTGTTTACTAGTGACATATGCTTGAGTAGCATATGGTGAAACAAATGGTAGCATTCTAGAATTAGATGATTCAAATTACCAAAATCTGTAATTTTGGTTGCAAAAAGTTAAAATTTATTCTCTTGAGTCTGTAATCCGATGCTTTAACTGGGAGTTAGCTTCACTAACAAACATACATATAAATATAACATCCAAGTAAATATCTAGGCAGGATTCTTTTTTATAAATTATCTTGAGACGTTTCACTCATAAAGGCTTCTAAAAAAAGCCAGATAGTATAAAATGTACATGCTATCTGAAATAATTAATGTAGTTAAAGAAGTAAATATTTGGATTGATAGCATAAAAAAAACACTTTTCTACCAAATAGAGAAAAGTGCTTTTTCAAACTTTCAAATTATCAGAAATTGTATTTCCCTAGTTGCAATCCACTCGTTCTTTTGCTAAAGGCAGATTCTGATGGCATTCATCTCCTGAAATTTTAGTAGTTAGAAATCACCAGTGGTCTGAACCATCAATATCTGACAGAAGTCTAGGAGATGCTGCTAGTTGTTCAACAGTTGGTATTTTGAATGGTAAACTAGTACAGCAGTAAAGCAAGCATCTAGCTCCCTAATATTACTACCAACCAGAGTAAAACAGTTATATGTGATATCATGCTGCCATTTCAAAGCTTCAGAATAAGGTAAGGGATAAGATCCCAGCAAACAAAAACAAAAATATTACCCCAGAGACATTAAAGCAAGTCAAAAAGTATGGACTTTTTAATGTGATCCCAATTTTGTTTTTCTCATATATATCCCATATTGTTTTATCCATATTGCCAATTTCTCACAGAATAAGCAGTTACAATCTACTGCAGTAAAGCCATCTGCAGTTTGCTAACTAAAATTTACAAACATTAAAACAAAGCTGACAAATTAGTTTTCAAAAAAGTATAAAGATATTGTCATTTAGAGTTAATATTGTTTTAGCTACTAAAACTCTTGGCCCAGTAATAACAAGTCAGTTGAAAAATTAAATTTGGCTAAAATAGAAAATGCAAGAGTGTGCTCAAATTACAATAAAACAATTTGGTGTTAATATGCAAAATCTCTTGAATACCCCATGAACTTTTACTGTCAATGATAATTTGAAAAATTATACTTCTATTTCTAAGTACCGGTAATCATTTAGTTTACTGTGCTGTCTAAAGCAGCGACCCACAACTTTTTGGGCAACAGGGATTGGTTCCATGGAGAGATATTTTTCCATAGACCAGAGGAGGAGTGGGTTCGCATGCTGCCTGCATCCCAGGGATGCAGCTTCACTTGCTTGTGGAGCCTGGTTCCTGGCATGCTACAGCCCGTTGCCAGATCCTGGATCAAGGGCTGCGGACCCCTGGTCTAGAGTTTAATAAACTATACATATTTTCTATCAGTTTCTAGCTGTTATAAGCGTTTGTGCTAAAAAGAATCTACTCAAGTAAAGGAACCCATACAAGATTTAGTCATGTATATCCTGGAACATTTATCCCCATGTGGCAACAATTTCCTGGTCAACCAACTACTGTAGGGGATTATGGATGCCTGTCTACTGTTGCACCACTACTACTGTATCAATTTCATAATGCTTCTTTACAAAAGAAACATTTCAACTAGGTAATTATTTTTGTAAACTTGTCATTTTTTAAAGAAATACTTTAAAATGTGTATGCATATTTACGTGAGAATACCTAGAGTAAATTAAATTGTATTTCAAATAAACACCTCTAGTGCTGCTCTGTCATGAAATAATTCTTGATGAAAGGAATGAAGCCTATTCCCTTTAAACAAAGGCTTCAGCCCTCTCATAAGGCAATATGTTCTGTAAAAATGCAATGGAATTGGTTCTAAAAACATACGCATTTCAGTGTACTGTTTTACAAGTGCTAAAATGCATTTTACATTAGATTTGTTTAAATTCAACAATAAGTAAAGACAGCATAGCATATATTTTCTAAGCAAATATGTTTTCCTGACCCAAGTCTAAAATGTCAAACACTATATAATTATTTATTAGAATGGCTGCTAATTAGACAGAAGATCTGTTATTAAAAAACCCCAGGTTTAACATCTAACATCTCCAGTTAAACCAAAAAAGACCTAACACTGAAATTAGATGAATGGTCCATGCAAGATGCTGTTTACCCATTGTATAAAATGCCACATTAAAATTGGGCTTGCCTAGTCTTGGTTTGGCGTGTTGCCTGAATTGAACCACTGTGGTTTGTAAACCAGAGTTTGTGGCTTACCATATTGTTGTGGATCTGGCTGTTAGATATTCAATAAGCCATGGTCAATCATAGCACAGCACAATGCATGAACCCAGACAGTACACGGCAGCTTCCAGTACTGCTCGTTCATTAAGAAAAGGGCTTCATCCAGGACCCACTTCCAGCTCCAGGTCTTCCTTCAGGAAAGAAGACATTTCATTTTGTCCTATGATAAGACTTTAAACACGAGATGAAAGCAAGAGAGCCAGTTTGGTGTATTGGTGAAGGTACTGACCTACAACCTATGAGTTCTTTGGCATGAAAGTTGGCTGACTTTGGACCAGTCAGCCCAACCCACCTCACAAGGCTGTTGTGGGGAAAATAGATGGCAGAGGTATTATGCTTGCCTCTGCCAGTTACACACACATATTTTTTAAAAGATGGAATAAAAACTATAACATCATCCAAGCTTTGTAATAGTTAAAGCAGAGCCAGTTGGATGCAGTGGTTAAGGCACCAGGCTAGAAACTTTGGAAATCATTTAAGTCTAGCCTTTAGCAAGAAGTCAGTTGCATGATTGTGGGCTGGGTCCCTCTGTCTCAGCCCTAGATGGCAAACTACTTCTGAAAAACCTTGTCAGGAAAACTGACCGAACAAGTCCAGACAGTTTTCAGGAGTCAATGACTTACTTGAAGGCATCTCCTCCCCCAAAACACAACAATCCCAAATACAGGTAGTCCACGACTTACTGCAGTTTGTTTAGTGACTGTTCGAAGTTACAATGGCACTGAAAAAAGGGGCTTATTCTTCACACTTACAACCTCTGCAGCATGGTGACTTGATCTAAATTCAGAGGCTCGGCAACCGACTCATATTTATGACAGTCGCAGCGTCCCGGAGTCGTACAATCCTCCTTTTGTGACCTTCTGACCAGCAAAGTCAATGGGGAAGCCAGCTTTCATTTTAACAACCATGTTACTAAATTAACAAACTATAGTTGTTTAGTGCTGTGATTCACTTAACAACTATAGCAAGAAAAGTCATCAAAGGGGAGGGCGGGAGGGGAAAACTCACTGAGCAACAGAAATTTTGGCCTCCACTGTAGTGGTAAGTTCGATCCTAGGTAGAAGCAGATATTTCTTTCTCTGGGCACCTATTCTCTCTGAGTATCTGCTGAACAAAACTCCGCATTGGCGATAGGAAGGGCATCCAGCCATTAAAACACTCTCCTAGCTCCATTCAGTTGCCTACTTCACCCGCAAAGGGATGATTTTTTTGGGGGGGGGGGCGGTTAAATGAAGGTGATAATGTGGTCGTAAGTCGAGGACTACCTGTAGTGAAGGCGCGGGAGGGAAGAAATGGCAGGTTCAAGTCCAGCCACTTGGAAAAAAAGAACCTGAAAGAGAGGGTGACTTTGGGCCGGTCGACATCTGCAATATTTTCTCAGCCCGAAGAGTTCGGGGAATGAAAAGTTTTTGCTCTTGCATAAAAGGCGGGCTAAGAAATCCAGCGCGATTGGATGTGGGGTGACCCGCAACCTCTCCTCTTAAAGAGGTTCCCAAGCCCGTCTTGACCCGGAGAGGAGTGCCCGAATCTCCCTCCAACAGCACCGCATAGACCATAAGGCGGGTCACA